TAGGATTCATAACCTAGAACTTTTTAAGATTGAGAATAAATCATAGATTTTTGGTCTTAATTTAAATGATAAAAATGGGCCATATCAAAATATTCAGTATTATGTTAGAAAAGGTTATTAAAGTATTTAATCCTGGAAAAATCATTATATTTACTATTAGGGAGACTATTAATACAGTCTATTAACTTTTATACCTGAAAACAGAAATTGCTTTCACACTAGAAATCTTCTGTTTTTTTTTTTTTTACTCCACTATTAAAAGTAAAGTTCATTTCTTATAAAAAATTTATCGGAAGAATATTTTGCCTTTAGGCTGATAAACTATATACTATTAAATTCAAGGAAACATTCATGTTCATTTTTTTAAAACTGATTAAGCAATCATGATTTACAATTAGGATGGTAATTGTTAATTTACAATTAACAATCTTAAATATTTTTAAGGAATCCAATGAAATCAATTATGAGACATGATAAAACCGATTTCTAGTCATTGGCCTATGTATCAGCCTGATTTGAACAGTGGGGGTTATCGCTGAGCATAAAGTGTAGACCCACAGTGTTAAAGCATGTTCCACAGAGCACACAAAGATCTGTATCATCTGTTATTACAGCAGTGTAAAAGTCCACAGTCCCTTGAAATGTCCGTTTAACCTCAATAATGCAAAATTGCCATTATAATTCTCAATGTGTAACATTTTAGGTCAACAATAATGCTCTATACAAAATGGTTCAAATTGTACCTTAGTATAAAGAAAATTAATTGTTCATGCTTTGGATTACATGCCACACCTGTTTGCTCTCTCAATTTTGTTAACAGGTAGTGGAAAAAGAAAATGACATCATTGACAATGTAATTACTATTTATCTTTCCTTCAAATACTGGGAATATATTTTATTGTTGTTTACTAGATATAAATGGGTGGCCTCATGTTCATAGCATTTTGTGAGTTTTCTATATTCTTAAATAGTCTCAAGAATATTATTTTTGGTTGGTATCTGTGGATGATGACTCGAGTTGGTTTAAGATATCACTAAATGTTATAGATTCCTTTCATTTCCATTTGTTTTACTGTTAGAAAAAAAAATTTCAGTAGACATTCTGATGCCTACCACTACTTACTGTCTTTGGATAAAATTTTAGAAACCAATTTGACAAAAAAACATAAATACTTGTAAGGTCTTTGATACACAATGTCAAATTGCCCTCTAAAGAAGGCATACCAATTTCCAGTTTTCTTCAGCAATGTATAGAAGATCCTATTTTCCTACATACTCAACACTAAGCATATAATTTTCTCAATCTTTGCTAATTTTTCATAGCTTATATGTGCATTTACCTTATTGCTAAGCTGTCCAACATTTTCATATTTTTATTAGATTTTTTTTTCATTTAAATTCAATTAGCTAATACAGAGTACATCCCTAGCGTCAGTTGCAGAGTTCAATAAGTCATCAGTTATGTACCACACCCGGGGCTCACCACATCATGTGCCCTCCTAGGTTTTTTTATGTCTTCTATGACAAGGCTGTGCATGACCTTTGTCCATTTTCCTATCGACTCTTTTTTGAAACACTATTCGAGATATAGTGAATTTACGATCTGAGAATTGACATTTCTCAGAGAAAAAATTATCAAGAATTTCACAGAAGATAAACTACAGGTTATACTCTGTATGTGATTGTGTCGTGTGGCATCAAAAGTTATCTGCCAAGAATCCAAAAGGCACGAAACAGGAGGGAAGCATATGGATAAGCTGCTATCCATGCTCCACAGTTCCTCCTTAGCATACCTTCCCCACCACGGAGATTTCTTGTCATTAGCTGTTGAAAGAGAACAGATTGAGCGAGTTGTGAATCAAGATCCCCTTGCAAATAACTACAAAAGAGCTCTGCAACAGAGGGTAGCCTATCAGTTGCCACAAAGATAAGAATGCTCTGTGCAGGCAAAGACCTTTGAACAGCTAAAGACAGAAGCCTCTTGATACACACTGGGGACAGTGATCTACTTTATCATTCATTCAAATAGATTTTCCCCCTTCATCAGGGCATCTTTTCATTTTATTTGCTGTTCAAAACACTGGGACACAAAGGACGCACTTCATCTTGTGCGCTACTGAAATGAAATCGTGAGGTAGGGAAAAAAAAGAAAAACCCTTGCCCTAAATTCCCATTCAAAAGTGAAGTGTGAAAAGACATCAAGCAGAGTACACAGTGTTATTGTTGTGAGAAAGTCAATTCTGCAACACAGAGACCAATGCCATCAGCCCTGGCTCAATCACTTCCTTACCCACAGTGAATCATACGAAAAATCCAAGAAGAAAGGGTTCCACTCGGAGAAATGGAATTTCTCATTGTCTTTCCTCTTGATTATGATTAACATCTATGGGCACAGCTGTTTTCTTTCTCCAAATAATCCTGAAGTCGATGCTATAATATTGGCTCCCTTCTTCTGTCTCCATGGGGGTATTAAACCTTACCTCACCTCATGTCCTATTCTGAGCAGCAGAAATTTCAAATTTGTCTTTTCATTGAGCAACAAACCAGAAAGCCTAACTGTCTGCTTTTGCTGAGAGGATTAAAAATTACTTGAAAACTTGGTTTCTTTGCAAGTTATAAGCCAAGATATAATAAAGAAGATGATCAAAATGAAAGACGTTTAAGTCAAATACTCAGTAGCTATTATGTATAAATGATCTAGGACTTTCTTTTTATAAAGTCAGGTGTTTTTTATTTTTTTCAAACAGAGTGAAGAACTAGGCCATCTCAACATTCATCTTGACGTAATTTTATATTCTGCGGAGTATGTATTTATGTATCAGGACCATTATTATACAGTGGCTTTAGGCTTTATTGTTTCAAGATAAAATGCACTACTTATCTGAATGGGGTTTTAAAAAGCCACCCAAGCTTTTTGGTTTCCAACTGAAAGCTTTATTAGTTCAACTAACAGAAAAACTCAGAGGCAATGAGAAAATTGATCCAAGATTTTTTTTCGCATTGACAGCTTCTAGTCATCCACCGTGGTCTATGGTAGTTACTGGAAAAGATACTTATTTTTTTTCCTTTTTCAAATTTTTATTTAAATTCTAGTTAGTTAATATATAATGTGGTATTGGTTAGAGGAGTAGAACTTAGTGATTATCACTTACATATAACTCCCAGTACTCAACCCAAGTGCCCTCCTAAATGCTCATCACCCACCAAGCCCATCCCCCACCCACCTCCCCTCCAGCAACCCTCAGTTTGTTCTCTGTGGTTAAAGTCTCTTATGCTTCCCTCTCTCTTTTTTTCCCCTTCCCCTGTGTTCATCTGTTTTGTTTCTTAAAAGATGCTTCTTAAATAAAAACCTGTTCAATCAGCAAACTCACAGACAATAAGGCAGTTTCCCCCTGTAGCAGTTCCTTAAGGGATGCAGGGGACTGGAGAATTTTAAATCATGATGTTGTCTGTCCACACATGAAGAGTATACGCCTTGTGACTAAGATCTAAGATCTGAATTTATTTATTTATTATTCATTCATTCATCCGTTCATTTGATCTTTCAAATGTTGTTTTTTTTTTTTTGCAAAAAATTCCATCATACTCCCTTCTTATAATTCTTCACTCATACAGTTTCCTAGACACATGAAACTTAAAATCCAGTTCTGAAGTTGCCATCAGACTGAAAGAGGGCTATCTCCATACACACACCTCTTCCACCAAGTTTGGTTTACATAAATGTGAGGAAATAGTAAGAGCTGTCAAAGTCCATTTACATAACGATCAGTGGAGGGGCACCCTACTGTACCTTGGAGGCTCCTGGGCAATTACTCTAGTTTATTTTTCCCTTCAGGTATAAAATATTCTCCTAGTCCAAATTCACATAATTTTCTTCTCTGTTGAGAGAATTCTCAGAAATCTGATGGCCATCTTTTCCATATCACATTCACTGCTCTTAGCAGAAATACAAATTTCCATAAGCATATAAAATGAGTGAGATTTTAGCTGTTACCATCCATTTCCTAGGTTCAGCTGGGAAATGTTGTTTTGCAAGGCCTAGGGGCAAGGGTATTCTGTTTAGAAGGCAATTTGTATACTTGTTCTCTCTGAAGGATGCTCAGCTTTCTTTGATGCTAATATTTGGTATTATGTGATTTTGTGAATTGATTTTTTAAAGCCTCAAGCAAAAGAACCAAGGCTCCCCTCCTTCCCATACCGAGGTCTCCTTTCTTCACTCAGTTCTATTTCATTAGAATAGGAATTTAATTCAAATACTCTCCGTATGAGAGCTGTTCTTGGCAGAACGGATACAGGAGGACTGAACATTTAACAGTAGCATATCAAGTAATGTTGAAACACTGAACAATGTATGTTTTGTCCCAAGGAAATACAAAAGCTTGTTCTATGGTCTGGAAGTGGATTTGCCAATATTCAATCATAAGGCAAAACAAGACAAGAACCCCACAATCATGTGGGTAGCGTTAGACACTAAGGTATCTATCTTTTATTTCTCCATCTTCAATTATTCCAATTTCCTGCTTGCTTACCTGATTTTGAATTCACTAAAAATAGATACATAAATAAACTTCTCTTTCAACATAGCTAGACTTTACAGGAAATGGTGTTTCAGCCTTTGGTAGAGGTAAAAAACAATAGTGCCTTTATGGCTGGAGCATATACAGCTCCCTTTCTAGTCCAGGCCAGAGCCTGGCAGTAAAATGTAAAACTCCATTTTCCAAGTAGCCCCCATTTTGCATTATATATATATTTGATTTTAGCTTAGAATTGTGCTACTTAAATCCCTACACTTTCATGCACAAAATGACCAACCGTAAAAGGACTTGCATTTTTCTACCTTCAAAGATTCCAGTTTACAACAAATCTGCAAGCTGACAACACTTTGAATTTTTTAAAGTTACCAATCTATGAAATGACATCACATAAAAAAAGTTTAGGTAGTTTTACTGACAAAGACATGTAACAATTTGATCAGCTAAAATTCTGAAGGAAATACATACCCAAACCTTCCGATTCAAATAGACACGTTTCATCTACCCCTAAATCTCGGCACCAGGATAAGAAATTTGCTGTATTGTCTCTGGCAAAAAAGGAGCCTGAGGGTGCAGTGGCTTTGCACGGAATCTTCTTCAAGGGCAGATTCTGAAAAACAAAGAAATCTCACTCTGGTGGTTATATCTAACAAAGTCATCACAGGGACACATTAAATAGACAGTTGTTTTCAACAAAATGTTTTGGAATGACCTCATGTCAATAAATAGGTTAGTGAAGAGGTATAGAAAAGGAAGTGAAATGTATATGAAACTTAGTTGTACTAAGAAACTATAAAAAAATCTGTGCATATAAACAAATCCTGGATCTTTTTTTTTTTTTCTTACCATCTTGTAGTAATACAAGCAAGTCCCTTCCCTGGCTCATGTTACTCTTTTTTTTCTCTTCTATTTTGGGTGTGTCTTTGGTATTTTTTGTCTTTTGTTTCTTTGTTTTTGGTCTTATGTTCCATCCAAGTATGTTACCATTATTTCTCAAAAATTATTTATAAATGTATTTTCCATTTGTGAAAGAAGAATGAAACATAAATATACTACATGAATATAAACAATATGTAAGACACAAACCTGTATTATGTGCACACATACACACACATCAATATATTATATTATTAATACTTTACATTATAATATAAAATAATTCTGTTGGATTTCTGCCATCTGACCCTGAAAGATATTGACATTATGCATCATTTTTCTTCTGGGATAAGAAAATGCTTACGGGGCACCTGGGTGGCTCAGTTGGTTAAGCAGCTGCCTTCAGATGAGGTCATGATCTCAGGCTCCTGAGATGGAGCCTCTCCCTACGGCTCTTTGCTCAGCAGGAAGTCTCCTTCTCCCTCTGCCCCTCCTCCTGCTCATGCTGTCTCTCTCAAATAAATAAATAATAACTTAAAAAAGAAGAAAAGGAAATGTTTAAGATATAGGAGGGCCTGAACCTGGCCAGACTTTCTTATTAACAGTCTCTCATAAAATTTTAGATAGGAAATCTCCACTGGCACCATACCAAGAGTTAGAGAGTTGTGTGGTCTTATTTTCTTTAATAGAACATAATCAGTTTCCATGGCATTCCAGGAAGTCACAGAATGCAATTCTCTGTGACGTGAAAGACTAAACAATGGTTTTGGTTGATGTGGGCTACGTAGAGCTTCACTTTAAAGAGAGAAAAGATTAAGGGAGAAACACTTTGTGATTTAAAGTTCATAAATAGAATGTTTCCTTCATTCACTGGGAGCCAAAAACTAGAAGCAAAACATTGTTGATTGTTGAACTCAATGGCAAGAATGGTTATAAAAAATGAGATAGTTGTCTTAGAATACTGGTGAAGTTCTGCTAACATCATAATATTAATAGAGTTCTTCATGTCTGAGGATTTTATGGCCCCATAACTAAAACATTCAGTTACTATACCACTTAAAGTCTATGTCTGTCCTATCTCAAAGGTCTAGCTCTTTCTGGCTGACTCACTTTAAAAAAAAAAAAGATTTTATTTATTTATTTGACAGAGATCACAAGTAGGCAGAGAGGCAGGAAGAGAGAGAGGGCGAAGCAGGCTCCCTGCTAAGTGGAGAGCCTGATGTGGCGCTTGATCCCAGGACACTGACATAATTCTAAAATAAGAGCAGGATTTTATTTTATTTTGTTTTTATTTTGTAATTTTTTAAAAGATTTTGTTTATTCATTTGAGAGAGAAAGATAGAGAGAACACAAGCAGGGGAGATGCAGAGGGAGAGGGAGAAGCAGACTCCCTGCTGAGCTGGAAGCTGGACATGGAGCTAGATCCCAGGACCTGGAGATCATGACCTGAGCTGAAGGCAGACACTTAACCATCCAAGCCACCCAGGCATCCCAGGTAGGAGGATTTTTAATGACTTTTATATCCTATCAATATTTTCAGATTAAATAATCAAAATTGGTAAACTGTGTCAGCCAAAACATAAAAGAGGATTTGCTAGAAACAAAAATCTCCAAGAGATGACCATAAAGCTTTTTTATGATGAGGTCGTCATAAAAGCAAAGGTCATCTCTAAGAAAAGAACATAAATACATTCAAATACTGAGCCATGTTAAGATTTGCCACCTTTATCCCTGAGTGTGAAAGAATAAAACGTGGAAAACCACTTAAAACCCAGGAATGAGTTTGCATATAGGAAGTATGACTTAGAAATTATAAACTATTTGACAATGCTAAGGGCACCTTAGGACAAAAGTTTCAAGGCTTGCGTAGGGGAAGGAAATACAATATCCATATTGTATTTGAAGAAGCTAGAGATTGATGTGACAATCTACCAAGGGACACATTTTGAGAGAATACCCACAAGCAACAAGGCCTCCGAAATCATTCAGCCTACTCTTTAAGAACTTACAAGGACAAGAACTGAGCATAGGAGTGAAAACAGCATTTTCCCCGACAAGCTTCTGGTCTTTACGAAGTCATTTACATAACATATACTTGAGGATAAGTATTTAAAATTCATTCCTATTCAAAGACATAAAAGTTATTATAGGACAAGTAAAATGAAAGCTGGCTATTGATCTTTTGTATCTTGGGGATACCTAGTGCAGTGGAATCCAGTAATAACAGCAGTTGAACAAGGCAGTAGTTAAGTGATTTATGGGATATCTGTTTCTGTTCTGGACCTGTCAGATTCACTGCTTCCATGTCACTTAAAGACTTAGGACACTGTAAACCGAGTGAGTGGAAACTTCCAGTCCTCATCCAGATGAAATGTTTTATTTGATAAAATTTTAAAAAGTCATCCTTATTAATCCAGAAGACTAATGAACTAAGCCCTCACACATAGTACTTACAAAGGTCATCACACATAACCAGGAGTAAGGATCTCTCTGCATTGGCTAAGAGCAGTAGCGCGTTGTGGGATCTAATATTCTTCCTTCCTGGTTGAACACCGACCCCAAATCAAAGGTCTTTCCAGGGCTACCTTGCCATTTATAATGAAGAGTCTTAGGGCATAAATTTGATTTCATTTGAATTAAAGAACAAATGATTCAAGAATATCAGCCCTCAGTAACTTTAGAACTTAAAAGTATTTCTGACATCTTTTACACAAAAGTGTTCTTAAAGTTCTGAAAGCCTTGGCAATTAGACCACTTCCAGTTCTGTGATTTTTTTTTAAATTGTTAATTTCTCTAGGTTCTTATGAAAATCCTGGGGGGGGGGCCAGCTCTGCATCTCTTCTTTCCTATCACTAAATATAATAAAAACAATAGATTGAATAACAACTATTTCCCTGCCAAGGATATCCTGAAGAAGAGCTTTAGAATAGAGAACTGCCTTAATGGATGTATATACTGGAAAAGCTGGAAATCGACCACAGATATGAAGAGGAAGACTTCTGATCTAACGAACTGGAGATGCAAAAGGGAACTTCGCCACATGACTCATCTGAGATATATCTTCCATATCAGTTTTCCCTTTACTGCTCACCTCTTCAAACAACTCCTACAGCGTTTAAATTATAGACCATCTTCAGTTATTTACTATGTAACTTTTTCCAGACAGTGCTTTTACACATTAAGGCTTCAAAACCTGACTGAGGAATGCATGCATGAATGGTAAGACTCGACCCCTCAAACTAGATTATAATCAGCATGGGACAGACATAAACATTGTATTAGAGTTTTCACATTCCCAGGAGACACATTTCCAGGGCCTTCAAAACTCATGAAATTCATAGCATAACTTTTACATTAAATGATTTCTATAAATTAAGAAATGTTTAATGATTTCCATTAATCAAGACATTAAAAATTTACATGACATCTTTGAGCTATTTTTGAAAGTTACTGAAGAGAGAATGATGAATAGAGAATAACTGCTAAGCTGAATTGAGATTGGGTGAAAATTTAGGTACGCTTGCTCCCAAGAGTCACACCACTGAACCCTCCTACACTGTTGGTGGGAATGCAAGCTGGTGGACCCACTCTGGAAAACTGTAAAGAGGTTCCTCAAAAAGTTGAAAATAGAACTACCCTATGACCCAGGAATCCCACTACTGGGTATTTACCCTAAAGATACAAATGTAGTGATCTGGGGGCGCCTGGGTGGCTCCGTGGGTTAAAGCCTCTGCCTTTGGCTCAGGTCATGATCCCAGGGTCCTGGGATCGAGCCCCACATCGGGCTCTCTGCTCTGCAGGGAGCCTGCTTCCTCCTCTCTCTCTCTCTCTCTCTCTGCCTGCCTCTCTGCCTACTTGTGATCTCTGTCTGTCAAATAAATAAATAAAATCTTTAAAAAACAAACAAACAACAACAAAAAAAAAAACAAATGTAGTGATCTGATGGGGCATATGTACCCGAAAGTTTATAGCAGCAGTATCCACAATAGCCAAACTATAGAAAGAACCAGATGTCCATCAACAGATGAATGGATAAAGAAGATGTGGTGTACACACACACACACACACACACACACGCACACACACACACACACACAGGAGTACTATGCAGCCATCAAAAAGAACAAAATCTTGTTATTTGCAATGACTTGGATGGAACTAGAAGGTATTATGCTAAGCGAAATAAGTCAATCAAAGAAAGACGATTATCATATGATCTCTCTGATTTGAGGAATCTGAGAGGCAGGGCAGGGGGTCTTTGGGGGTAGGGAGGGAAAAAATGAAATAAGATGGGACCAGTAAGGGAGACAAACCATGAGAGACACTTAATCTCAGGAAACAAACTGAGGGTTGCTGGAGTGGAAGGAGTCAGAAGGATGGGGTGGCTGGGTAATGGGCATTGGGGAGAGTATGTGCTATGGTGAGAGCTATGAATTGTGTTAAGACTGATGATTCATAGACCCGTACCCCGGAAGAAAAGAATATATTATATGTTAATTAAAAAAAAAAAAAGAGTTGCACCACTGAATCCATCTCCATGGTTCCAGATTCCATAGTTTGTGTTAGCAAAATGAGAAGTGACTACCAGTATACCATCACATGGGTGTACATTAATTTTTCTAATATCAAGAATCTGATGTTTACTGTTTTCTCTCACTCAGACGTACAAAGGAATGTTTTGAATTCCAAATATGCCTTCCCTCTCCCTTCATGCAACAAGCACACTTAAGTTGC